GTGAGGCACTGGGTTCAATCCTCAGCACCACATAAAAATAAAATAAAAGGTATTGTGTCCATCTACAACTAAAAAAAAAATACATATTAAAAAAGAAATTAATAAAACAGTTGAAACAGGTAGTTTTTCAGCTTTACTGATAAGCCAGTTCCTCAAAACAATACCTTTCTCTTATAGAATGAAGCTGTTTAAATATGGCTATGTAGTTGTCAATGTCTGTGATCTGATATCATTTTATATAACCATTTCCTATCGTTAAGACATCTGATGGGCTGAAAAACTATTAAGCCATCCAGGCACGGTGGCACTTGCCTGTAAACCCAGCAGCTCAGAAGGCTGAGGCAGGAGGATCTCGAGTTCAAAGCCAGCCTCAGCAAAAGCGAGGCACTAAGCAACTCAGTGAGACCCTATCTCTAAATAAAATACAAAATAGGGCTGGGGATGTGGCTCAGTGGTCAAGGGCCCCTGAGTTCAATCCCTGGTACCCCCCAAACAACAAACAAACAACAACAAAAACTATTAAGCCCCGCCCTTTATGATTCATTTGCTTTTACAGGTGGTCTGTACAGTATCATTTTTACACTGTGTAAATGTGAAAGTGGGCACACACTTTTATGTATAAAGAATTACTGTGAGTAGAATTCCCTCCAGAATGACACATTGATATGATTTTTGCCTCTTGGTTAAAACTTTAAAATTTGCCCTTGGTACAGGATTTTAAGACTCTTTTTTAAATAAAGTGCTCTGGAAAACCCCTTTTCCAAATAGAACGTGGGTTACCAGTTATAGAAAAGAATGAAGATGGGATTTTAGATATGTTCATTATTCAAGCTAAAATTTCCATGCTGAGGAGAATAGAACCTGTTTTTGGAAATACAGTTTTTTAAATTTTTTGTAGTACTGGAGATTGAACCCAGGGATGTTCTATTCCCATTTCCTCCACCCTGTTTTTTTGTTTTGTTTTTTGGGGTTTTTTGTTTGTTTTGTTTTGTTTTTGGTGCTAGAGATTGAACCCAGGAGTGCTCTACCATTGAACTACATTCATACCCCTTTTACTTTTTGATTTTGAGACAGGGTCTTGCTAAGTTACTGAGGCTGGCCTGAAATTTGCAATCCTCCTACCTCTGCCTCTTGAGTTGCTGGGATCACAGGCGTGCACCGCTGTGCCTGGAAACAGAATTTTTGATCTTCACTTTGAAGTTAAGATATCCACAAGGTCATGAAGAACATGCATTTGAACCATTCCAGTGAAAATGTTGTAAGGTGGCAATACAGAAAAGTATCCCAAGTCCTCCACCCCATTCATTTCTTTGTTGGCTAACGATAAAGATGAGGGCATGCCACCATGTATGATGAAAGGGATTGGGACATTAAAATGACATATTCATGATAGATTTAAATGTCTTGGCATTCTTAAGGTAGTATGGAGGGGGACAGGAAGAGAATTTAAATAGGAAATTAAAGCCACGAATTTGGCAAGTGTTTCTTGGCTGGAGATACAATTTGGAGTAGTGAGATGACAGGCAAATTCCTGGAGGTGGCAAAGCACTAAAGGAAAAGTTCATAGGATAGAGATGACAAGGAGCAGAATCTTTGTGATTCTAGAATCTTGTGATTCTGAGGTCACACTGTGTCTTCCAGAGACCATGAGGCAAAAGACACGTAACCCAGTAAACCAAGGCCTTCTGTTGTTGAAGAGGTCCTCTGTCCCCTCTGCGGCTCCTGATGTCCTTCCCGACTTCTTACCTTACCTCTCCTTGCACTCCAGGACTTTGTCAGGGGTGGACATCTGTCCTTGACTTCCCATAGATCCTCCAGAATGGATCTTGCTTACCTTGCAACAGCAGAGCTGTTGAGGGGGAGGAAACTTGCAGACATTCCAGGCAGCCGGGAGCAGGGAGCCCGCAGCAAAAGAGAAGAGGAAATTGGTAAAGCAGCAGGGGAGGAAGGAGGGGGGCCAAGGGAAGACTCTGGCTTTCCCTAGCTGGTGGGTTGTGTTTTCTAACTAACCCAGTTGCCTTTTTTAAAAAAAATTGTTCTTTTTTTTTTTTTTTAATATTTTTTTAGTTGTTGATGGGCCTTTATTTTATTTATTTGTATGTGGTGCTAAGAATTGAACCCAGAGCCTCATGCATGCCAGGCAAGTGCTCTACCACTGAGCCACAACCTCAGCCTCTTAATTTGTTCTTTTTAGATATATATGACAGTAGCGTGTATTTTGACACATCCTACATACATGGAGTATAACTTCCATTCTTGTGGTTGTACATGATGTGGAGTTCCACTGGTCGAGTATTCATATATGAACATAGGCAAGTGATGTCTAGTTCATTCTGCTGTCTTTCCCATTCCCATCTTCCCTTCCTTCCCCTTTGTCTAATCCAATGAACTTCTTTTCAACGCACTCCCCCCTCTCCACACACACACACACCTTATTGTGAGTCAGCATCCACATATTGGAGACAACATTTGGCCTTTGGTTTTTTTGGGGTTGGCCTATGTCACTTAGCATGATAGTCACCATTTTTATCCATTTACCAGCAAATGCCATAATTTCATTCTTCTTTATGACTGAGTAATATTCCATTGTGTGTATATACCCCATGTTCTTTATCCATTCATCTGTTGAAGGGCACCTGGTAGGCCCATAGATTAGCTGTTGGGAACTGAGATGCTATAATCATTGATGTGGCCATGTCACTGTAGTATACTGATTTTTAATACTTTGGGTATACTCTGAGGAGTGGGATTACTATAACCCAGTTGTCTTTTGATTCTTGCATCTCAGTCACTTTATAAACACTGAAGAAATTCCTAATGGTGTTTATTCCTGATGTTGGGCAGGAAAGCCAAACAGATCCTCTTAAACAGAGACCAAGGGATAATTGTGTTACCTTGTTTTTTCTTCCCTTTTTAACTATCATGAAAGAAAAAGTTGTAAGTAATGTTTATTTTAGCCAACCCATTTAAATGTGTACCATACTATCCCAGACTCAGTCACCTAAGGAGACAGACTATTATGTTTTAAAATAAATATTCCTTAAATTATTGTATTTCAAATTCTTCTATGATGATTCTGGTTACTATTAAGCCATGTGGTTCTTCTCTTTGTGTTCATCTTTCGAGCCCTAAATATGTTTGCTAGCTTTTCGTTCTAATAGGAGATGTTGAGAATTTCATATTCTGTCATTGGCTCTTTAAGAGGAAGATTCAGGGTTAGTTCAGGATTATTCCTTGAAATTCAGATGGAGCTAATATTGATTACATACCACAAGTGAAGAACTGTCTCACATGCATTATAAGATAGTGGTGGCACGTGTGAGCCCCATTTTACTGATGGAGGAAACTGGGTCCTGAGAGGTAAACAAGCTTCATAAAGTGCAGCTGGGATGTGACCGCAGACCTCTGGACTTCAGGGCCATCGGGCTTTCCCCTCCGTGGATATTCTTGTTACTGAGTCCCAGGCATCTCTGCCACCCAGCCCCACACAAATGCAGCCAGTGAGCTCTGGTGACTTTCACTGATAGCGCAGATTTTTTTTTTTCCATTTAGTAAACATTTATTCATCACCTATTGTTCAGTAGGTTCTGAATCAGGAGAAAATAAAAACATCTGCTATTGTAATTACTGTTTAATAAGGAGAGGATCACATCATTGTCATCATTATTTACACCTTTAATACTATTGTAATTAACTGTTTAATAAGAAAATCACCTCATTATTATTTACACCTCTAGTGAGGACATTTAGAATACAACAAACTTTCTGGGTGTTTATTTCTTCTGATCACTTGATGTTGAATTTGGAAGAAGCCAGCTAGCTGGTCCTCGGCTTGTCCCTGAGGGGTGGGTGTTCACTCAGTCTCTACCTCCATGGTTTGAGGAGGATGATCTCTGAGGGTCTTCCAAGACTTAGGATCCCCCTGGAACTTGAGAGGATTCTTTATTGGTGCTAATATCAGAAACCTACATCTCAGCCCTTTCATAGATGGCCTAATGTGTTTTGCATGTAGAATTTAACCATTTGAACTAGGAAAGTTTCTGAATGAGTCTGTAGAGCCATTGGATCACTTTAACTGAAAACACTGCCTTTATTCTGTGGCATTAGCCCCAAAGGCAGGAGAGACCAGCAGCCTGTGGCAGAGAAGTTAAATGGGACATGTTGATCTATGTGAGCGTTGATGGCAAATGCAATTCTCCTGGTGACAATTACATCAAATCTGTCTGATCTGGGGAAATGAGAATGACACATGTAAGTGGATAGTTGAGGAATTAGCAGGAAGAGCAGGAGACACCACATGAAAATCTTCCTGAAAACCTCAAGTGTTTCAAGCTATTAAACTTGTTCAACTCTGACAGTGACAGTTGTTTTATAAAGATCAAGAGAGAAAAGAGAGATTTTGTTCACGATGAGTGGGGGGGGGGGTATCAGAAAAGGGGAGGGGAAGTAGCAGTTGTCAAGGGCTGTGGAGAAGGACATCTTCAGGTGACTGTGAAGCCCCCATCCTCCGTCTGGGCACGTCTGGGCACATCTGGGCACGAGAGGAGCAATGCCACTCTGCTGCCAGGAGCTGGGGGACCGTTACCAACGACCTCTGGTGTGAAGGGGCGGAATTCAGCTAAAAGCCACTGATGTAAAAGAATGTAATTCGACTACTAAATTACCTTTAAGTTTTATTCATACTTTAAAATCAATCTCTATTGAAGGAGCAAATTGATTTTGCAAAATGGTTTTTAGATGTGTGGGTTTTTTTGTATCCTTGTTGAAAACTACAGGCACATTTTTTGACTGGCTCTGTGTGGGGGTGGTCTGAACAGACACATCTTTGCAGGGCCATATTTCTTCACCCTCTGAAACTCTGGTCCTGAGCTTTTCTTTTCTCCTTGTGCAGAGCCGGGGAAGCCTGCGCATGGGCAGGGGGCTCATTCTTTTTTTCCTCCCTTTCCTCTCCTGTAACCCCTCTTTTTTTCTCTTAGTACTCATGAATAGTACACGGCACAATGCCCCGTGGAAGAGGTACGTTTGTGACATGCAGTCTCTTATGCACTATGTCTGTTGATTGCGGCTTGAGTGGTGGTGGCAGCCATGTGACGGTGGCACTCTGGGGTGGGCCTCGGCTTAATGAAAGCTTCTCCCCAATCAGACGCACTGTGCCGGCTCCTCCCTGTCTGTCCCCTTTTATTCCAGTACACACAGTGAGCCTCTGCTTGGTTTAGCTCTTGATAGCAATGTCACAGTCAAACCTCCTCATGACAAGAATTCAAGGAATCTTCCAAGAGAAGATCCAAGGGCTTGGGTCTCCAGTGTCAGGGGTTTGTTTTGACAATCCCAGCATCAGTTCAGCTGTCCCAGCGCCAACCCCAGCGGAGATTTCCTTCCCTACCACCACAGTCTGCGCAGCCTCCTCTTTCAGAGAGGAGTGAATTAATAGGAGAAAGGAAGGAAAGATCTGTGCTTTTAATCTTTTCAAATCAGAAGCGTTGAGAAAGTAATCATGGAAAGAGACTGAAAGCAACCAGTCCAAATAGTTTATGTCTGACATAAATTCCCCTTGTGTACAAATCCTTACAGTATAGTACTTGATTTTATTCTATTTTATTTATTTGGGTTTTTTTTTTTTTTTTGCCAAAAGGATCTCAGGAATGTGTTCCTTGAAAATAGAGATAAGAGCTGGGTGCAGTGGCACACACCTGTAATCCCAGCGGCTTGGGAGGCTGAGGCAGGAAGATCGCCAGTTCAAAGCCAGCCTCAGCAACTTAGTGAGGCCCTAAGCAACTTGGAAAAACTCTGTCTCTAAATAAAAAGTAAAAAGGGCTGGGGATGTGGGTCAGTGGTTGAGTGCCCCTGGGTTCACCCCTGGTACACCCCGTCCCCCCCAAAAAAAAAAGAAAATAGAGATAATAGTCTCCATTACATAAAAATTCACCCCACATGGGACCTTTTTTTAGGTTGTTTAATTAATACTCAATTTGCTTTTGTAAAATAAAATTTGGGGAAAAAATTTAACCATTGAACCTTTTGAATTTGAGACTTGAGGAGGAAGTCAATGCTTCATATAAACAATATGTATCATGAACATGTTTATAATGATTTGAACACCTTTTCCACTTATTATTATCTCTTAATTAATAAAGAGTAATTACTTAGAGATTACAAAAATCTGGGTAAGAAAATAGATGAGAATCTGACCACTTCCACACTCTTCAAAATAGTTATAAACAATTATAACAAAATTATAGTCATATAAATTAGATTTTTTTTTAAAGTTTTCTTCCATTGTTATTTCATGCCATCATCTCAATTCTCTGACATGCAATTTGTATTTAATAGCTATCTTCTTTTCTCTGTGCTTTCTTTAAATTATTTTCAGAACCACAAAATGTGCTTTGGAGAGTTTTTGAAATCTCTACTTTCTTATATAATTCAAATACATAATTGTAATCAGTGTTTTGCTGTATAAAAAGATTTACTCTTCTACTTAGAGATATTAAAATTCATACAGTCTATATGATGTCCAGTATAAGCTAATTTTTGCTAACTGTGCACTCTATAAAAATTGAATCTTTATTGAATATGCTGATTTTTTACTATACCAGTTTATTCTTTCTTCTATAGCTTCTCGGACTTCTATTCAGAGTGAACTTCATCGAGATAGGAGGTACGATTCTATTTATAATAGAGGGCATATATTCTGGTAATAATGGAAATAAAAGTGGGTCATCAGTTGGCAAATTAAATAATTTCTTTCATAAGTAAAGGAATACTATGCTCTGCCTCATCGGTACATTTCCTGAATTAATCTATAAGTTTGAGTGATGCTTTTACTTGAGAGAAGAAGTGATACAGGCCTGAAAATGTTTTTTTTTTTTTTTGACAGTAGTTATTTGCTGAACTTGATTTTAAAGTGTTTATTAAACAACTACTACATGTAAAGCATTGGTGTAAGTGCTTCAAAGAAATGCTTTGCATCTGATAGGTACTTACTTAATGTTGCCTAGATAAATGAATGGATGATAGGATAGAAAATTGATAGAAAGATAAAGAAAAGGAAAAAGGCCATGTGGGGTGGTTCATGCCTGTAATCCCAGTGACTAGGGAGGATGAGGTGGGGGGGTCATAAGTTTGAGGCCAGCCTCAGGTACTTGGCAAGACCCTATCTCAAAATAAAAAAAGTGCTGGGGTTGTGGCTCAGTGGTAGAACGCTCGCCTGGTACACGTGAGGCACTGGGTTCAATCCTCAGCATCACATAAAAATAAATAAATAAAATAAAGTCATTGTACACATCTACAACTAAAAAAAAAAAATATTAAAGGAAAGAGGCAGAGAGCTAAATAGACAACTGGATGGATAAACGGTGGGTGAGTGAGTGATTGGAAAAAGGAAAGGAAAATTGGCAGAGAATAGTTAGATAAATGAAATAATGGATAGAAGGATAGAAGGGTGGACAGGAGAATAAATGGATAAAAAGGGTTTTGTAAGTCATGATTCCTGCTTTCAAAATTCTTACAGTACAGTGTAATGAAAAACAAGGACTTTAGAACCAGGCAGAACCAAGTTCAAATCCCACCATGGACATCGACAAGCTGCTTCACCTCCTTAGCGTCTCTATCCCCATCTTTAAAATGGTGCTGATCACACCTATATCTCAGGTTGTCCTAAGGATTCATGTACACATAGTGCTTAAAATAGATTATTAGTAACTCTTGCTATATAGTTAGATAAAAACTATAAGCAGATGTTCTCAGGGATGCAGTTGAAGTTTAATCAGTGATAAGGTTCTACTACTTCCCTGGCTAGCATGAGAATGTTCCTCTGGGCACAGTTTTGATAACAACAGTGCTCTTTTATTTTTATTTTCCAAAGAGTGCCACAGAAAGGCAGAGCAGTTATTATCATCCCTGAGAAAACTCTGAGGCTCAGAAAAATGGATTGATTTTCCCAAGATCACATAATTAGTTTTGTTAGGAAGTCAGATTGAAGATAAAATTCCAACATTAAAAAAGTAGCATCAGATTAAGAAAAGGAGAAGCTAAGCTGGGTGCTGTGGTGCATGCCTGTAATTCCAGTGGTTTGGGAGGCTGAGGCAGGAGGATCGTGAGTTCAGAGCCAACCTCAGCAAAAAAAGCAAGATGCTAAAGCAACTCAGTGAGCCCCTGTCTCTAAATAAAATACAAAACAGGGCTGGGGATGTGGCTCAGTGGTCAAGTGCTCCTGAGTTTAATCCCCGGTACCAAAAAAAGGTGGGGAGAAGCTAGGCCTAAATCACTGTGCCTCCCCAGTATTACAGATTAATCATCAAATCATAATAGAGTGCTGACACTTCTCAGGGTCCAGTGAACTGAAGCCACTTACGGAGAGCTGTGAACTGGGTGGTATACAGATGGAGTGAGGAGGATGAGGGTATTCTCTGTAGATGGTGATTTTCATTTCAGAACACTCGGTTTAAATTGGCAGAAACCAAGCAATACCAGTGACCAGGGTGTTTTTCTCCCAGGCTCCATATGCTTGTGCTGCAGTCTGCACAGCAGCAGAGCCTGGGAGGGAAGAGACAGAATGGGCCTTATGGTTGGTCCTTGTCCTTATCAGCCAAGGTAATGCTACAGGTTCATCAACTCTTTGAGGCCAGAGTCAGAGGATGACTGCCATTTGCTCCCCTAAAGCCCGTCTGGGTGTGCTGTTAGAGACAGTCCAGGCCAGTTCTTAAACCGCTTTTGGGGGTCTTGGTTGTTTTTGCTAACCTTTGAACATTTACAAATAAACAACAATAGCTTATTACCAGCCTGCAGAACCTCACTGAGACTTCTTTCCTGCAGGCGCCCAGAGATCACCATTGTGGCAGCTGAGCCTCTGAGGCCAGCCTCCTGGTTTCCAGGAGCCCCACCTCCAGGACTGGGATTTCCTCCAACTCCTGCCCCCGGCCCGTGGAGGCCAAATGAGCTGGTTTCTGCTGAGGTAAATAAACATCCCACTGCCTCTTTACATTTTATTTTTAAAATGAAATTCAAAGATTAAAAATGTTGCCACTGTCACAACACCTTGGCTGTCACCCAGAGATATCTAAAATTTTCCTTCTTTGTTTTGTAGCTCCCGCCTTCTTATGAACAAGTCATAAAAGAAATCAACCAAGTTCAAGTTAACACTACAAATAATAATAATGCTGCTGCCACTCCAAGGCACACTATCACTTCTGCAACTCAGACTGACTTTTCAGAAGACATAGACAACAATCTGCCTCAAAGTAATGCAAGTAATTTGTCTTCTCTAATTCTGACCTAGTTCCAGGGGAGGAATCAGTAGGCTTCCAGCCTTTAAAATAATCTGCAATTTGTGCATAATTCATTGAGCTCTGCTTCTCAGTGATTGTTCACTGGGTGCTTTCTCTATTTGGGTATGCAGTGATTACTATAATAGATCATTCTTAAGAGCTGCAGCCCTAATTTCTTGGGCTCACACAAGTTCATGTCACGAAAACATCATCTGGGTGACTCATGTGTACATGAGTACTGGGTGTACATTACCGTGGATGTCCTCTACTTATTCCTTTGAGAAGGACTTTATATTTAGCAACTTAAACTTGATAGGATGCTAAGGGTGATTTTTCTGTCAGGTTTTTACGAAGTATTTTATTAGGGTGACAGAGTAAGTTGCTTTGGAAAAGAAAAGCATTGAAGATGCTGGAGTTTTGACAACCAGAGAGAAATGGTTCGCAGATACGTCTAAAAAGAATCAGGAATTTGCCAGGCAAAGTGGTGGGATCCCAGTGGATCCCAGGAGGATCTTAAGTTCAAAGCCAGCCTTGGCAACTTAGTGAGGCCCTGAACAACTCAGCAAGACCCTGTCTCTGAATAAAATACAAAAAAGGGCACAGGGGATGTGACTCAGTGGTTAATTGTCTCTGGGTTCAATCCCTGGCACCAAAAAAAAAAAAGAATCAGGAATTTCATGGTGTTTTAAAATATGATATAATGAGCATTTTTATATGAACAAATATAAGTTGAAGAACCCTCCTGCAGGAAGCTAAATATAAACATCCATCTATCTCCCCATTGATTTTGCAGTCACTTTTGCTCATGAAGGAAACCAAATTCTCTTGATAGTCCATAAGTATATTTTCAAAATCTGTGTGTCCCTTGTCATTTTGTTCTTTTAAATTATAACACTTGCCACTTTGTTTTGGTCTTGTCAGCACTGCCGGAGCCTCTCAAGCCTCTTCAGCCTTCTCCAGCAGCCTCACCCGGCAATGTCCCCACCAGTGTGGCTCCTTTAATAGTCTTTGATGTTTCTGAAGAAGCAAGTTGTCCAGAAAACCCCAGTGCTCCAAGATGTCCAGTGCCAAAACCAAGATCGAAAAGCAACCTCAGACCAGTAGCTAAAACTGCCCAGAAAATCAGCCCAGCGGTCCCAGAAGAGGAGCCATCCCCAGGCTGGCCCCAGTGTCTGTTGGACAATACCAGCGACTTAGAAAGTCTGCCAAGGATGGACACGATGAGCGCAGAGCAAAGCCAAAATAGCATTGTTTCAAGGATCAAAGCATTTGAGGGTCAGACAAACGCAGAAACCCCGGGACTGCCCAAGAAACCAGAGATCATCCCCCGTACACTGCCCCCAAAGCCTGCTGTTTCCTCAGGGAAACCTTCTGTGGCTCCCAAACCAGCGGCTAACAGAGCTTCTGGAGAATGGGACGCTTGGGCTGAAAACAGACTCAAGGTGACCTCCAGGGAAGGGCTCACCCCGTTCTCTTCACCACCAGAACCAGGCAGCGTGCCAGTAACCAAACCCGAATTGCCAAAGAAACCAACTCCTGGCCTTACCCGAAGTGCTAACCACGAGATTCCGGGAGGAGGGCCCGTGGCCGACAGCCCTGATGCTGGGAAGAAAGTCCCCACTCCTGCCCCTCGGCCCTTGCCCCCGAAGAAATCGGTTTCCTCAGAAAACCCCAGCTGTCCTTCGGCTCCACCGAAACCAGCCCCTGTTCCTCCCCGGCTCTCAGTGGCATCACAAGCCAAAGCATTCAGGTCACTGGGAGAAGGGCCCGCGGCCAACCCCCCAGTTCCAGCTCTGCAAAGCAAGTCCCTGGGGGACATTGACCTCATCAGCTTTGATGATGATGTTTTGCCCACCTCCCCTGGGAGCCCGGCTGAAGAATCCCTCAGTTCAGAGCTGCTTCTAGGTGAGTAAAACTCAGAAGTCTGGGGGAACCTAGACTCATGGTGGGGGGCACCTTCAGTATCACTTGCTTCAGTATCACATTGTTTTGTAGCAATATGGAAGTTAGTGCTTGAGGTGTGCAAATGATTGTGTAGAGATGGGAATGAACAGAGAAATTAAGAAACCTGGGGCTGGGGCCGTAGCTCGGTGGCAGAGCGCTTGCCTAGCATGTGTGAGACACTGGGTTCCATCCTTAGCACCCCATAAAAATAAATATCATAAAAGCAACTCTGTTCATCTACAACTATAAAAAAAATTAAAAGAAACTTGGAGTGAGGTGGGGGTTGGAGGCAGAGAAGGAAGGGAAGAGGGAGACACGGCATCGATTATCACTCTGGACCAGAAGGAAGCACCCAGGGGTTAAGGATCAACCAGGCTGTGGGGCTGGCTTGCCTTGCTCTGGCAGGTGGAGAATTCAGGCTTCACATTAAAAGGGTCCAGGATGTTGGAAAGTTGGAGAACATTGCACAAGGTGGGTTGCAGCAGGAGCTTCTCATAGACAGGAGATCACGCAGTGCCCCAGAGGGGCCCAGCTGGGAGAGCCAGGAGAGGAGCCAACCAGGTGGGGGTGGCAGGAGCAAGGAGCAAGGAAGACCCCGCACATGTTGCAAAGATCTTTTTTTTCTGCAGTCTGCTCAGAACATCCTCCTTTGGGAATGAAAATTTGTGTAAATAAAATACAACAGTTCTAAGTTTGCTGCCAAGATTGGGACAATTAAATTTCCCACGAGGCAGAGAGTGTTTTTTTCGTGCACACTGTTCAGGGGGTAGGTGCAATGGTAAAGCTTATCTCTGATTTGTCAAACTAAGCTGATCTGCTTGTCATTGACAATTTTTTTTACTACTTTTACTACTGTTTACGTATCTGGGTAGAATTGGTGAACATAATGTAATAGTATTTTCAAAAATTAAGCTGTCATCTTATAAATGTTTAACCAGCTTTGGGCTGGAGTTGTGGCCCAGTGATAGAGCACTCACCTAGCATGAGCAAGGCACTGGGTTTGATCCTCAGCACCACATAAAAATAAGTGAATAAAATAAAGGTATTGTGTCCTAACTACAACTAAAAAAATACACACATATATATATATTATATAGATACTTAACCAACTTTAAAATTATACAAACTCTATGATTTCAAAACTAAACTCTGGAGAGCACAGAGTAGTTAATGATAGTAAGCACATATTTATTAAATATTTATCATGCACAGAACATTGTAACTGGCTATGACTTATAAACTGAAAAGACATACCTTTTGTCCACAAAGGATAGAAAGAAAAACATTAGAATATATTGAGCTTCTGCAATGTTCTTAACACTCTGCCGCATACTCAGACATATTTTATTTAATGCCTAACAACTCAGAAACTATTTAATTTCATACAATATCCCTGTGTGAGAAATCATTTCCTTTGTCAGTTTGCAGACAAAGGAAACAAGGCTGAGAGAGATCAATGGATACTTGCTTAATGCCATAAAGCTAACAATTTTCCAAGCCAAGATTCAAACTTAGTCTTTTTATACTAAGTCTTGTTTATTTTTTAGGATATTGTGTTTATTGTCCAACATCTTCATGATTCCTTAAGCCAGGCCACATTTTTAAAACTTTTTGCCAGGCACAGTGGTGCACACCTGTAATTCCAGCGGCTCAGGAGGCTGAGGCAGGAGGATTGCGAGTTCAAAACCAGCCTCAGCGACTTAGCAAGGCCCTAAGCAACCCAGTGAGACCCTCTCTGTAAATAAAAATGTTAAAAAGGGCTGGGGATGTGGCTAGGTGGTTAAGTGCCCCTGGGTTCAATCCCTAGAACCAAAAAAAAATCTTTTGAAGTCTTTGTTAATATCATTTTCTTCCTTAAATCTTTCTGGTGTTCACAAGCCTCAGAGACAGGTGGCAATGGATAAACCCAACAACAGGAAGTTATTAAGGCACGGAAACAGTACAAAAGAAAGAACACCCTTTTTAGAGTCTGTTAGATGCTATGGGAATGCCAGCTTGGTTACTAACTGCTGAGAATTTATCCTATATCATCAAGCAAATAATTATAGTCATATTTGAATAGGAAGATCAACGGTATATTCAACATGAATACAGCCTCATACCCAGCCTTTTGTTTCTTGATTTCTGCCGCTTCGTTACACAGCATTTAATTATTAGGGCAGTCTTTTAGCAAAATGTGTAATTTACTTGTCCCACCTTTAACCACGGCTGTCGACTATGAAGTTAGACTAAACTGGACACTCATCTTCTATCTGACCTCCTCCTCCTGTGTTGGGCACCTCGCTTTGGGACCAACACACATCCAGCCTTCCCCTGAGAAACCTTGAGATGCTTCTGGAGGCTTCTCACTGTGTCACACACTGGCTCGGTTTGGATTTGGCGTCTACCAGGCTCGGCCATGATTGCCACGTGACCTTTGGCGGTTATTTAACCCCGCAGTACCTCAGTTTCCTCATTTAGAAGACTGGATACTGATGCTCCTCGTGGAGTGTTTTGCAAGAATCAAGTGTGGTTTTGCAGGAGAGCCCCATCACAGGGTCTGAAACATGGCAAGTGGGCATCGGGTGGTGTTTATTGCTGTTACTTCTCTGCCTTCCTGTCTGTCCAATCCGTTACCCTCACCTGCTGGTTTTGCCTTCTGAATGGCTCCCAAGTCTGTCTCTCAGTTTCTCTCTCTCCTCATTTTGTCTGCGTGCACAGGGCGGGCAAGTGCTCTGAGCATGAGCTACATCCCAGGCCTTTCTCTTTTTAATTTTTCTAAAATTTTGAGGTAGGGTTTCTCCAAGTTGCCCAGGCTGCCGCGGCCTCCTGAATGGAGTGAACTCAACCTGTTACCCTCTGTACTCTGGCCACCGAGGGATTTTTCGAGAGAGCTCACTGGCTCTTGTGCTTTCCTGCCTGCTGTCCTCCAAGGGCTTTTCCAATCTCCAGGCTGGGATTGATAGGGGGCTTTGTGGCTTGTTGATGGTATTTCAGTAGCATCCTCATTTCAAAAAAAGGTTGATGATCTCTTTGTGAAACCTGGCCTGATCGTCCAGGCATCTGCCAGGCCCAGGAGAGGAACACAGGTGCAAGGAGACTCACAAATACATCTTTCTTTCTCTTTGTCTTTCCTCAAAAATAAAGAAAATCTAATAAAATAGTGTTCCCAAAAATGAAGTTGCCATATTAATCTCAGGAAATAGAGATCAGAAAATACTGAAGCTATGAAAACGTTGTAAAGATTAGAAAAATTATTAAAGGAAAACTCATAAAACAGGCAATTTAATATTGGATTCATTTCTTGGATAGAATGCCTTCCAGGTTAATGTCATGGAGCTCAGAAGCATTAGCAATTCCACTTCACACCTTTACAAATCACACCCAGTTGCTTAAAAAAAAAAAAAAAAAAAAAAGAATGCTTCTGCTGTCAGCCCCATTGCGCAGACCAGAATAATAGTTTAGCAGCCAATTTCTGCTATTAACAGAACTCAAGGGAAAGAAATGACAGAAAATCCAGCCGCGGTGAAACTAATTACGACGTCGGCAAGCACATTATTAGAGACAGGTAATGGGTGGAAAACTACTTTATCATCAGTGTTTTTCTCAACCTGGTAATGAAGAACATGCAGAGAGAGATAGGTGTAAAGGGGCCTGCTTGTTTGGTAGCAGATGCAGAATAATTGATGTTGGTGTGAGGGACTGAAAGGAGGACAGAAAACATGGCAAATAAAGGTAGAGAAACTGCCCCTGGCCTCCTTAGATTTGGTAGGAGAGTCTTCTTTTAATGCTCTGTGTCATTTCTGTAGAAGCAAGGGTGTTCGAATGTAAAATTTTGGCAGCAAGCGTCTTTACCCCTATTGAGGTCACAGATCTTTAAGAATCTGATGTAGCCTATAAATCTTTCATTTTTCCATTATTTCACATGTGGACAATTTGAGGTCCAACTTCCAGTGTTTCGAGGGCCATCTTGGGCTCCAGATTAAGTGTTTCAACCACACAATATTGGAAATAAGCTTTAGTGGACTGCTTTAATAAATTATGGTGTATCCATATAATATTGTGTGATAATTAAAAAGCAGGCAGACCTACTATCTCCTAATGTGGGCCAAACTCCAAGTTGTCATTAGGTGAAAAATACAAGGAACGAAATAGTGTCCTGGTATTTTAGCTACAATTTACATGATTCCATGTAAATTGCAGTCCATGGGCACATGTTAATCTTTAAAAAATAGTTTATCATCTTTTTAAAGGTCATGTGCAAGCATGGCACTGTGGTGCATACCTATAATCGCAGCAGGTTGGAAGGCTGAGGCAGGAGGGTTAGAAGGGTTACTATCTCAAAATTAAAAAAGAAAGGCTGGGGATTTGACTCAGTGGTAGAGCACTTGCCTGGCATGTGCAAGGTCCTGGGTTCAATCCCCAGTATTGAGAAGAAAAAAACAAAGTCATGTACAGTGTGTTTGGAAGGGTGTATTAGAAGCTGATATGACAGAGGTCTTTTAGGGGGGGAATTAGGTAAGCAGGAGAGGATGGGGGCCTGGTGTTCCCTGAAAAACTTTGATTCCATGTAAATTGCAGCCCATGCACACATGTTAATCTTTAAAAAATAGTTTATCATCTTTTTTTAAATGGCTGAACATAAATGTAATTAGAGAGAAGCTATGAAAGTTACTTCTTATCTTCTTTGCTACAGAAAAAGAACTGCTTCCCCGGCTGATCTTTAATATGATTAGAAATTACAAAAATAATAAAATTGTGGAGTTGTGGGTAGCTCAGTGGTAGACATGCTTGCCTAGCATGGGTGAGGTCCTGGGTTCCATCCCCAGCTCTGTACCCTTCCCCCAAAAAAGTGAATTTTCTGAAGAATCAAGGTTACAAATAGAAACTAGTTGTTATGAACTAAATATGTCTAAATTAGATAAATTGGAAACACTTATCTGGTATTATCTCCTTTTAAATAGAATGCAGAAAAAGGAGGG